ATTTAAATATATTTTTTCAAAAAATTATTTTATTCGATCAGAACTAAATTTTTTTATTGTTTAAATTTATTGCGGTTAAATTTTATTTTAAAATGAATTTTGCATAAATATTGACGGTATTCTTTTGTTTTTTATATACAAAATATTTGGGATTATTTTAATTATATTTTGTATAAAAAATGTACTTCGCCGCCACCCCTCAAATGAAAATGAAACGCATATGTTGTTGAGTACAAAACACAATCACTTCATCACTAGTAAAACTCCGAAACTGAGATTAATTTAAGAGGATTTTTTTTCCAAAACTTAATTTATATTTAAAATTCTGTGAGATATATATTATATTACTATATATATATATCAATTTCAAAAAAAAACTATTAACTACTTTTCGGTCACTTGAGTCTTATTTGGTATTAGAAGGTTTCAATTGATGAAAACTACAAAAACAAAATTAAGTAAAATAAATGAAGTAAAAAAATTAATTGATGAAATTAATGAAATGAATGAAATGCATAAAATGGATAGTTTGGTTTATTGAAATTGCAGTGAAAATAAAAAATTAAATATTTTTAACAAAAAACTACAACAATAAATTTACATTCAAAAGCTAAAAAACTGCCATTTTAAAACGAAAATAAAAAATATAAAAAATTTTGTTACGAATTTTGTAAAAATATATATAAAAAAAATTATATTAAAAATAAAAAACCGAAAACGAGTGTTATTTTAACTAGTTAAATATACTAATTTAAGTTACTGAAACATAAAAAAAAATTAGAACTGCTCAAGTGACAAATAAATTTTAGTTTGTATTTATTTAAAATTTGGCTTTAAAAATCTTAAAAGCTTTTCATATAATGAACAAAATTAATAAAATAGTTATTTATATATATATATATATAAAATATAGGTATATAAAAAGTTGTTGCAGCAAATGATATTGTAAGTTCCTTTTATAAAATAAATAAAACAAAGAATACAAAATATATAATACACAAAGTTAAATGTTAAAGTATAAACTACTTAACTAATTATATGTAATTAATGGATATTACTGTTCAAATGTAAAAAAAAATGTTATTGTTAACATATATATATATATATATGATATAATAATAATTAATCTATAATATTTGATATTATTAAAAATATGTTAAAATCGAAATATTAAATGTAACAAATTGTAACAAGCAAATGCTTATATCGGGTAAATGTTCTTAATCACGTTAAGTATACTATATATATAGTTATATACATATATATAGGTTAACTTTCCAAAATGATTTAAAATTTTCGTAATTTAATTTTAAATATTTTCACGCGAAAAGTTCTATTAGAGAAATCTTAAATATAAATTCCATTCTGACTTAGCAATCGACTGTTTTTATTAATAATTTTTCAACAAATATATTCTAACTACAAGTAATTAATGTTAAGAATTGTTAGAAAACAAATTCCTTTTTTATAAATTTAAATTACTTTTAAAGATTAAAAATTTATAAAAAAATTTTATTTCTAAAAATCGACATTATAGGTATTCCTTAAATTATTATGCGGATAGATTCTTTTCTAATTTTTGACTACTAAATCTAAATGAACAAAAATCTGTTTAGGAGATTAACTCAAATAAAAAAGATATATTCATCTTAATTTTCGGGAAAAAAATATATGATAAGAAACAGCTTACAAACTTGCACCCAGTGCTGACACCACCTTTACAGAAGCCGTGCTCTTCCATGAGATACCAACTTATCAGACTATATCAATTGTTTAAATTGTCGAATATCGAAATATAATTTCGTATATATAGGTTTATACGTATATATTAACCAAATATATACGTATATAACGTATATAACCAAAGCTATCTGCGCATTGGGGGGAAACAAAAAAATTTTTCTAAGTTTTTTAATCTCCTAATTTAAATCAATTTACTAAACATTCTGGTATTATTAATTAACCAGATCTGTCATACTCAAGAATGTAATGATGAGATAAAGAAATTGAATCTTATAAATTTTAGAGGTGCATCATAACCCATCTTACCTCATTTTCTTTACCACTTTTACTGCAATTATCAGGAAACAAATCCATGACTTTTATTTGATTTTCGGTTGACCTAAAGAGGTCTGAACTTACAGCAAAAGATACTGTAAAGTTTATCAAAAACCTTAATTTATCTATGATTTAAATTAGGAAATGTTTTTTATGGATTAACTTAAAGTTCTAGGTGTTCGTTAGTGACTTCTAAAGATAATAAATAATCAAATAAATTGAGACTCGTAGACTATATATTCTATAAAATATAATATATAGCATATATACTTCTATAAACGAGTATGTTTTGAGTAGTCAAAAAACTACATTTATTTTAAAATGTTAATTTTTTTTGGTCGAAAGTGAAGTTTTTATGATAAAAAGAAACTATTTAAAAGTTAAAAGGATTCGAATAGAAGTGAAAATACAACAACAAAAATTTTTTTTGTTAATTTATTGATGTTTGGCTGATCATACAACGCTGTTTCGAGTATTCGTATATTAGGAAATATATGAATTTTTTGATTAGTTTATAGTCCGTATATAATTTATTTGGACTGTAAGTGCCAGATTTAGAACTCGTGTCTGTATAATTAGAAGCGATAACTAATCGTGTTTTTCCACAAGTAGCCAAGGCTGCACAAACTTTCAATGTTCAAGGTTTTGTCACTTTTTTTTATTACACAAAATAACATTTATTTTAGTTTCATAAAGTACCGAAGGTCAATATGAATGCCCAATACATTTCTCTAACTGACTATTTTGTTTAACAAAAGCATTTAAAATATAACAAACTCTCTATGAAAGTCATAGCCCGCGGTTCAGATATTGCTGAAATTTCTGATATATTTCGATTTTAACTAAAAATTAAAAGTTTTAAAATGAATATAAAATATACAAAAAAAATATATTGAAATTTCTTCGAGCTTTGAAAAAATGTTCGAAAAACATATTCCAAGCTTGTTAAATTATAATTAATGTTAAATGATTTATTAAAATAATGTTGCTATAAATAATAAAATAAAAAACTATAATTAACGTTATATGATGAATGTGATTTTAAGTAGTATAACTAATAAAATGTTAAATAAATAATTGCTGGTGTAATAAACAATATAAATAATAAACACAGGATATCATGAAAAGAAATTATTAACAATTGCAAACATCTACACTGCAAGGACATTTCAA